CTTTTATCCCGATTGGTCAATTAAACGCTACTCTATCCGTCGAGTAAGGTTTCTGAACGCACCCCGAAATAAAAAAAGGCGAGTCGTCGTCACCGAATCTCGAGGAGCGCGCAAACCGCCGCTAAATCAAACGCTACGCAAAATCGGAACGGTCGATGTAACGCGGGTCGGGATACGCGTCGGTGTTTGATTGAGACGTCACTCAAACGTGTATGTTGACTGATAGCCCCATTAACACTCCGACGCACTATCTATGTTTGCTGCTGGCGCGCCGGGGGCCCCGGCGCTCGCTCGCGCGATCAAACTCGCAACGATTTCGCAAATATTTTATCGCTGCCTTTATTATTTCACGGCGTCACGCTCTCTCGCGAACACGCGGCCGGGCATATTTCGCGAGCCATCCGACGGAGCGGCTCGAAAAATTCGAGAGAGCTTCTCGAAAGAATCCGATCGACACGCGAGCACGATACTTCGCTCCGCCGCACGCGCGCCGCTCTCTCTCTCTCTCTCTCCGTCGTTATAATTTCACAAAGAGTCGAGCGCGACGTAAAAGTTGGCGCAAAAAGCAGCGGCGTCGGTGAAGGGGACGACCACATCTGAGCGAAATACCGACATCGGCAGGTATCTCGTAATCGGCAACATAACCGAGGAAAAGTTCGGCGACAGTTCCTGACGAGTGTATCCGTCGTCGTGCTCGATCCATTAGTGTAATTGCAATTTATTTAGTAATTACTTTAATTAGTGAGCACCCACCCGTGCTTCAAGAGGTTCGCCGGAGTTGCATCAACGGCGAGAGAGAGAAACGAGAGGGACGTCGGAACACGACGAGCGAGAAGGAGGACGAGAGGGAGAGAGGGCAGCGGTAGTAGGGTACTAACGGAATTAATTAATGAATTAGCCTTAAGGGATAAGGCGTAAAAACAAGCGGAGAATCGGGTTGAGGCGGCGCGGACGAGCGCCCGATTAAAATAAGTGGACTAAGTAAGCGAGTAACTAGCTAAGTGACGACTAACTGCCGTCGCGTCGCTAAAAAGAAGAGCGGGGCACCCGGATTCTCCGTGAGAATTAATGTCGACTCCCCGTCTCATTCTCTTTCTCTCTCTCTCTCTCTCTGTGCCGCCCTCCGAAATCTCCTTTCTTATCCGAGCCGCTTTCGTACAAGCGGCCAGCCTGATGCAAATTAAACTACATTCGGAAATCCTTTATCGCGTCGCCGCGCACTCGCGCGCTCACCAAACGCCGACGAATATTCCGGAGCGGCGGGGAATGGCATCGAAACCTCCCTCGCTCCGCCGAAATTACGTTATCGATGGTGATATCAAATAATTCTCTTAGCTGCGAATAAAAACGTATCGGTATAAAATATCTCGATACAATGCGCCGAGTGAATAATAATAACGCCAAGGCGCGCAGGGTGAGCCAACGTCCCGAGTCGAAATTTTGCTTCCACGTTGATCCTGCGAATTCAAAGTTGAAGTACCGACGGAGAATCTCGAGATATACATCGTAGTTGAGTAAGTTATTGTTCTACTTGGATGTTATAAATGTTTACTCACTCTGCCGTTTCCTCGATGTTGAAGCTTAAAGATGAACTTGGTTTTGAATTATGCGATTTTCGATTATCTCCCAATATTCCGCTCATGCTTTTAATTTCTTCTTAAGTTTAATAAGCAATGTATTAATTATGCAATTTATTTGTTTGCAAATAGAGCTATGTTCAGCAGCGTGGTTTGTGTAGAATAAAAATGGTCGACCTTACCTCTCGAATATCGTTGGCGTCTGCATTTGGCACGAGGCACCAATTGCGACTACGATTTTTAATACAACGCGTGCAAATGATACGCAATAAGCGCATTGAAATATAATGGCTGCGTTCGTCGAGTCTGGCGTGTAATTTTTATAGCATATCGTATGTAATATGATGCAATGTATCAAATGTAATATATTAATTTGACTTAGATTTCATAATATATATTGCTTACAGATAAATTATTAAGTTATATTACTTTCCTTAATAATTTGTGCTATTAATATTAAACCAAATTGAACAAAGCACAAGTTAGGTTTCTATTGTATTAGATTATATTAAATTGCATTATAAGTTGTATTAGATTGTATTGCGTTATATTATATATTTTATTAAATTACATATTACATTATTGTATTTTATATTATACTATATTTTATTTTGTATTTTATTTTTGTATGTATATATATAAAATACATGTATATATTTTATATTAGATTGCATATATGAGTATATTGTATTATAGCATTGTATTAAAAAACAAGTAAGAATAAAAATGAAAATAGATGTCGGTTTTATTTTATTTCTGCCACCTCTTCACTTATATATTTCTGAGACTTGAATATGAAAAAGTCTAAAAGTCTTAAAATTTCCAATCGAACATTCGTACTATCTCTTCATGAAGTGCTCCTGATATTAAAACTTCAAAATAATTGAAAAGTTTTGAATTTTTCGGCTATGTATTTGTGCCACCTCTTCGCTTATTATATTCTCCTGACAAAAATACGAAAAAATACGAAAAATCCGTAAAACCAGAAACCGTTTTGCAGAAACAGTTTTGTAGATTTGTATCCGGAGAATATAAAGAGCGAAGAAGCGGCTCGAAATAAATCATGCTACCTTCTATTGCTAATGCTACCGCCTATTATATTCTTCTGATGCTAATGTTTGGAAATATTAAAAATTCGGAAACTAATTTCTTAGATTTGTATCAGAAAAATATAATGGGCAGGAGAGCGGCATAAAACTCATAAATTCTTCTTTAATAAAACGCAATTAAACTGAAGATGTTAATTGGAGGGGAATAAGACCTTTTTTATAATAAAATATTTTATTAGAGAGTTTAACATATATATATTTATTACATATTAAAATGTTACTATTACATATTACAAATGATATAATAATAAGCATAAAATAATGCAATACGCACATTTATTTATTTATTATTATATACAATCTAATGTCTACATACTAATCGCGAACGTATATCAATTACGTATGCATTAATATTACATGTACCATAACATATGTTACAATAATATTTTGTTACAGTAATATATATAATATTATTGTAGAGTACATTATTATACATTTCAATAATACTCTCTACAATGTCTAATAAAACTGTTACATGTAATACAATTATATACACATATATGTTCGATATAAAATATAAGAAAAATTGTATATTACAAAACTATATTATAAAATATGATAAGCATACATACGCACATGTGTGCATACATATATTATAGTGATTAAAAATATAAAATATGCGGCCACAATGCGTGTGTGCGCATGTATACAATATAAATTTATTTACCCATTATTTATCCACATTAAAATTATTCAATATTTGCTTATCGCACGTACTCTATCTGCGGTCGAGTAATTTACATAATTGATACATCGCTCATTAAAATTAAAAATAAAAATGAAATACAGATAAAATATCGCAAGGTAAGCGAATATTAAATAATTCTGAAACAAGTTCTTTATGCTTCAACACAGAGGGAACGACAATGAACTTCCGTGCACTCATCTGATACGAAAACACACGTCGATAGCTGTAAGTATGTCATCGGACTAATCTTATCGCATATACGTTTCGGTCTCTTTAATTCGCTCGCCAACATGATATTTACATAAAGATAACGTTTGATATTCAGTAGTCCGCGACGAGACCGCTGATGATCGCGAGTTGCGATGCGATCACCTCAACGGCGATTCGTCCGATACGGATCAAAGTGTGCGCGTACTTTTTAATAATACCGGATAACGCCCAGTTGCACCGTTGAATCCGGTTTTATCAATGATTTCGGCTAATAGCTTCGCGCGCTACCAAGGCCGCCTCGTTCTCTCGCCGCAATGGCTGCGGCTCCACTGTTTTTTCTATAAACCTGGTCTCCAGCTACAAATCAGTTTCACGTGACTCGCGCGGTCCGAGCGGCGACACACTCGTGCGAAAATAATGCCACTAATGGAGAAAAATCGCCCGGGTGTGATAACGGGGATGCCTTCCGTATCCGCTAATGTGCTACACGTTGTGCTACAACTACCCGCGCAATTAAACGAAACATGTCGTCGGGATGCTACGTGAAAAACCCCCTCCGAAAAAAAAAGAGAAGGGGAGGGGCAAAAACGAAAGCGCCAAAAGAGGTAAACGAACGGACGTTGTCATTGGAGAATCTTTTTCGCGAGCTAGGCGCGGCTTGTCGTGAAACGCGAAACGCAAAGGTGTTGTTGACGGCAAACGTAATAAATCGACGCTAACCGCGACGAGATAAGTGAATTAATCAACGACGGCTAATCGACGATTCCGCGGAAATTGCGGCGAAGGAGGAGGCCGATCCGCGGGCCGACGAGTGCGCGAAGCGATCACGATTTGGGATCACGTTGACCTGATTTTCCGCGAGATTAATCCGTGATTCACTCTCGGAATCGTTCTGTTCTGGCCTGCCGACGCGGGAGGCTTTATTTTTCCGCCTCTTTCCACCCCCTCGGGCATCAACGTACGCGACGATCCATGTAACGAAGGAAGGAGGAAGGGTGAGAAGGACAGGGGCGAGTCGACGCGGCCGAGGGATCTTCCGGATCCTTCGAATCGGAGGAAATCGAGAGACTGTGAAATTTTCATTCGAGCTGCTGGAATGTCGCCGCTGACCGCTCGCCGGGAATTCACCCCCGGCGTCGTCTAATAACTCGAGTAGAAGAGGGACGCTCCGGCAGATACGACTATAACAAGGAATAATTGAATCAGAAGGACAAACGGCTTACTTCCTCTTTCTCTCTTGCACGCGCGCGCCCAGATATTTCGTCCGTGTTTTTCACCGTCTGGAAATATTTTCGCGATCTTAAACGTCCATTGTGAGTAGAACGCGTCCTTTGCGTTCGGCTGTGCGATGAGAAAACTTTCGAGAGTGTTGCTCACTAATATTCAGGAGCTTCCGATATGATATAACAAAATAACTACGATTAAGAGATTTCTTTTAATGTGCCATTTACATAGTAAAAAAAAAAGTACGATTATAATCTCTTACACAAATGCGAAATTATAACTACGCCGCGGGAAATTGACGGGAGCGGAGTTACACTCGTAAATGTTCCTCTGCAAGATTATTTTCGATCGCGATCGCATCGTGGTTGTAGTCTGCGTGCGCGTGCACGCTCGTCGCACCGTGTCGCGGCCCGCTCCCGTAAAAAGGAGTACACGGACACTTAATTAATACCCGGGACACACGTAAATTTTATTCCGCCGAGGGTCGAAGCGCGCAAAAACGAAACGCGGGAGTGCAGTTAATTAATTATTCCCTTATTACGCTACACCCGCTAGGACGGACGGACGGAGGGCGCGCCGAGGGTTTGGGAAGAGAGGACCGAGGCTGCAGTCGTCTCATTTCTGACTACCTAGCGAAAATTTCACTAAAGTGCTGCTCATGTGGAAATGACATAATTCGCGTGCGGCAAGGGCAATTGGCAGTAATTAAAGTGGGGCGGGGGGAGGGAGAAGGAGGGACAGAAAGGGAGAGAGAGAGAGAGAGAGAAGGGAGGCCGGAGGGCAGCGGGGCATGAATGAAATTAAGGCGGGTAGCGAAGATGACCGTTTACATGGGTCCACGTCTGCTCGAGTCCGCTCTCTCTCTGTGCCGCGACAATAAAACGAATTTGCATACGGGACAACTCGCCCCCGGACGAATGTCCCGTGTCTGCCTCTCTCGGGCGGAACATTTTCCTCGGACGGACGGACGGACGGAGTCATCGGCGTACTCGGAAAGAGCCCGAATTGCCGTGTATTAAGAATTTATTAGTCGACGTTTCCCGAATCTCTCTCGCGCGACGACGTATCTCTCTGCGACAACACTCACGAATTTCGTCCCTCCCCCACCGACCGAACGCTCTCATTAACTCGCACGACACTCGCTTTACGAGCGTCGCGATCGAGTAAAAAAATATACACGTGCAGGAGAGTGTATTCTCTCTCCCTTACTAATTTCTACCCTCGCACCGGTTATCGTCGATAAGCTCGTCGTTGGAGCTCGAGGAGCTCCGGGATGAGACTGTAACGCGCGACGACCGACGTCGAAGCGAGGCGTTTTGATCTCAAACGGGGACGGACAAAGGTGGGACGTAAAAACCGTCGCGTAGCAGCGAGCGGCCGAAAAAAATGAGACGGAGTGCGAAACGCGTCGCAGCATTTTTGCGGCCGACGACCGCTCGTTGGTGTACGCTTTCTCTTTTTCTCCCTCTCTCGCTCGCTCACTCACTCGCGCTATAACGTATTTGCGAGATCCGCCGCGTTGATGGACATATAATGCGACGTGTGATTGTAGGCCCGCCAATCGCGGCCGATTGTGCCCCTGAAGGCCCGCTAACTATCTCAAACTAGCCCCATTCAAGCCTCGCGACCTCTCTCTATCCGCCTCTATCCGTCTATATCCGTCTCTGTAGCGCGCCACCTCAGCCACTCTCTACCCCTTTCGCTCTCCGAGCCCCCGGGTCCCTTTTCCGACCCTCCGCCACCGCCGTTGCCGCCGCCGTCGCCGCCGCCGCCCACGCGTTTCCGCGTTTCAACGCGAGCGCGCGACTCTACGCGCGCGTCTCCACACGATTCCTCCGCGTTATGTGTCTGTGTGTGTGTGTGTATATACATATAATATAAGCCACGTAGAACGTACGTGGAAATTCCGAATCTATCAGCCGCCCAGACGAATGCAAATGGCGCATGAAGCGCGCTTAATAAAGCCCGCGTACGCAACTTGCGAATCGCAATTTTCTTTAGGACGTGCCGCCCCGTCACGATCACGTGTGCCGCGCGAAAAATTCTCCCTGGGCTTTCTGCACGCGCATCGACGCGGGGATTCATCTGGATATTAAATAAATGCTTCGTCACTTAGCGGCGCGAATTCGTGTCGCGAATGCATGCGTGGCGAGCGCTCGCACGTTCATAACGTTTGAACGACTCAATACGGCTTGATCGCGCTTGAACGTCCCTTTTTTCCGGCCGCGAGTTACGCACGCGAAAATGCTCAAGATCGCCGTACCGAGCGATCGAGCGTACAGAACGATACGAAGAACGAGCGTGAATTAAAGTTCATCAACTACCACGATCCGTGGGCAGTTTATTTCGGTTTCTACTTATTCTATACACAAGGTATATATAAATATACCTACAGTAGGTCGCATAGTCTAAATTGCCGCGTGCGCTGGTAGAAAATTACAGTTAGTTTCGACGCCAAATATAACCTTTAGCCATTCACAAAAATAATTAGAAGAATCATTTGTCTATTAAGCGTTACTATAATGTCTGTGACAATACAGTAACATAATTATGCATGTAAGTACATTATTAATTACGTAATACATCTTAATTACGTGCATGTTGTATCACTACTGTAAAATATGTTTGCCGCCGAAACTAATTGTAATCTTCTATCAGTGTGATACGTGTCACGCATATACTGATATATCAAAAATATCGCTTTATATCTTATCTTCTAGATGCTCTTAAAAATTGCGAGTTAATCACGCGATCGATTAAAACTAGCGTGTCCTACTTGATAACCGTCGGGAAACGTTCTACAAACCTGAGGGTAGCGCGTTTATTTTCTATGTCGCACGGTCGCCTATCTCGTCATCGGGTAAATGCGTACTTGGAAAATAGAGAACAATTGTAAAAGAAGAGATGACGGAGCTATCTCGGGAGGATTCGGGAATCTCGTGATTGGGCCGGTTTACTATAATTTATCATAACTATCCGGCCGGTCACAACGATCCGTTCGCGAGCGTCTGTTCTCCTCTCTGTAACAATAACGATTTCTCTTAATGCCCGGCTTCTCTGATCGAACGTACACTGAGAAAAAGGCGGTTGTTACCTTAACGACAGGGTGCGATTTCCGACGTAGGCTCGTCATAAATAAATCGGCCGAGACTTGCTGGTCGACCGACGCCTGACACCATTCGCTTACTCCATTCGAATACTTTTGCTGCGGTAACCACCTGCGAACAGTGACGTTTCTTTCCGTGACGACCTCAAGTACCTCGCTGGACGGTGTTTTTACCTGTGAATCACCGGCGAGAGCAAGGTCCTGTCGACGGACGAGGGATCCCTCGCACCTGTTATCCAGGTGACCAATCCGCCCACCAGCAACACCACCACCGTGCCGAGAGGAGCGAACCAATGATACGATAACCGGTACAGCGGGAACACGTTCGATTCACTGAAAAACAATTCGCAGCGGTTAGCGCGATTCTCGGGACCAGTTCTTGGGGAAAGGCTGACGTCGCGATATCGTATGCTAATCGGTCTGTTTTATCGCCCCATTGGATTTAATATAATGTCCCTCGTGCGAATGAGAAATTCGAGGAATGTTAGTCGGGTCGAAAATCCGCGCAAACTCGGCGTAGGCAAAAAGCGGCCCTTACTCAGAATACTCGAACATCTTTAGAAAGTCTTCGCTGACGTTTCCGCAGTGGGAAACTGGTAGTTTCCTCGGTGTCAAGACACCTGAGCCGATGGCCGCATTCGCCCCGAAACTGGCCCAGCCGGATATCGTAAATCCGGCGATGGTGCCGACGAAGGCACCCTGGAAGATTATTTATTTATTTATTCCCAGAGAACACTAAGATGTCTTTGAGATAATATGATGTCTAATGGGCGTCTTTTAGACATATGTGTTGTGTGGGATCTATTTACGGGAAATCATCCTTTTTATATATCAAACATAATTATAATAAAGCTAATAATCTTTAGAAAATATTCATAATATAATATTTCTAAAATAGTCATTCGTCCGAGAGAGTCGAGCCTACCTCGCCGACATACCTTGGAATTTGCCCATGGGAACAAGATTCCCAAAGTGAACACACCGAAGGAGGTTCCGGCAGCGACGGCGGCCAGGCTGTTTGTCACCTGAAACACGACGGAAAGTTACGATTAGCGCGTTAACGTTGTGAATAGCGACGAGGTAACAAGACAACGTAAAATACACTCACGGACAAAACTCCGCCCAGCTTCTCGACCAGGAAAACGAAGCTCAACGCGAGCAGGCCGAGCAGGACAACGAGGAGCTTCACGAAGATGCCGGAACATCGTTCGCTAGGCTTCATTTTGAAGCAACCCTTCACAAAGTCCTCTAGAATCACAACGGACGTCGAGTTGAGGCCCACCGATAACGAACTGCGGCAGAAAAAGATCGGATCCTGATATCTCAACGCGGTTTTTTCCGCGGTTTATTAGATATATCCTGTATATAAATATTCGCAAGAGCATAACGCGTCGATCAGCGATAACCAGCCGATAATACCTGAGTGCCGCGCCAAAAATCCCGGCAACGAAGAGGCCAGGTATCCCGTGCAAATGGTGGGCTATCTCCATGACATAAGCCGGCAGTAGTTGATCGTCGGCCGTAATTAAGCCAGAAGCTCTTGGATCGCATTTCGGCGGCGACCACCAAGCGATGAGGACCAGTCCGCACCAGCAACACAGCGAGATAAACACCATTATGCCGACGGTAAATAACGCGATGGACCTGTAATTGTAACATCGCCAAGGATTCATGATTCGATTCGCTCGCGTTCCGTCTTCACCCAATTCGACGTCTAACGTGTATCCTTTATATTACTGATTCATGCCCCCCTCTATGTCCCATTGCCTCTCGATAGAGGTGTCAATTTATGTGACGTGTACTGTGAGAAAAAAATGATTAATCTCGCTAAGATTAGTTATTTTATATGAGTTATTTTTGGTTAATTATATTTGTTATTTCAGTAAAAGAATAATAATAACCATACGCAGATGGCGGCTATTATCATTAACACTATAACAGCTCTTAAACACTAAAGTATAATAGCACTTATTGTACAGGAAAAAGGAATTAATTTAATTAAATGAATTAGCCGTCCATATAACTGAAATTTAATTATCAAATCTAGTTTTTAGCTGTGGGAGCTAAAAATTATACGAGGAAAAATATTTTGCTGGTACAGCAAATTGTTAATTACTATGGGGACTATGGGGACAACAGAAAGATTTATTACATGGAAAAAATAATTTTGCTATTGTGGCAAAACGTCGTTGCGATAACGATAAAATTTAGTTGGCATAACCAAATTATTTTGCTGTACATATATCCAGTGAACATCAATCAATATTTTTATCAAATCTTTTTGCTATTCAAGCAAATTTTTCTGCTGTCTCCGTAGTAACTAACAATTTGCTATGCCAATAAAATTTTTTTTTCTCCGAATAGGTACAGAGACAAGAAGAATTAGCTAAATTAACAAAATTTCAGTCGTATTATATGGACAGCTAATCTTTATCCGTCGAAGCCACTTCTTTCTTTCCGCATACAAAGATGATTTTCGCAACTATAATTATTTCACTGCATAATTATAGAATCATGAGAACCAAACATTTTTTTCTCTTAGCGTGTGAAAATTACTGTCACTTCGTGTATTACGTTAGTGGCCGTGAATGTCATAAGTAATTTTCACACACTGGAAAAGAGAATGTTTGACGCATCTTCACGCATCTATAATTGCGCAGTAAAATAATTACAGTTTCGAAAAGCATCTTTGTAGTAGGTGTTGCTGTTCTACGTGAACGTAGCCACGAACGTGTTAAAACAGCGTTACCGGCTTACCACTGCGACATTCTTGTGCTCTCCAACGACCTGTATCGCTGCACCATGGTCTGATTGACGGAGATGTATGCGGTGCAGTACAGCCAAGAGCCGAACAGCACCGTCCAGACGGTGTGCCGGGTGTAGGGCGACGGGTCGAAGCTGCAACACGGAAAGGTGAGGGGAAATTACGGAGGGCACGCAACGCAGAGACGCGATGATTCTTACTTGAGGAACTCGATGCGACCGACTTCAGTGGCTCTGTTCCAGACTTCGGACACTCCCCCGAGCTGATAGGTTCCTAGAGCGGTCACCGAGATCACTGCCGCCACCATCACGCCGACTTGCAGGGCGTCCGTCCAGACCACCGCTCGAATACCGCCCTGATCGAAATGTCACATAATGAATGAAATAAGAAGGTATTCGCGTTTTTTAACTGAGAAAACAGAGCTCGAACACTGAGAGAAAAAGGTGCTACATTCAAGAAATGAAAACGCGTTTGGTTGTGCATTATCAGGTAGACCCAATTAAATTAATTTGTCAATATAGTTATGAGTATAGGTAAAACACGGAAACGATTGAGGCGTCGGCGTGGAGAAGCGAAAATTTACATTGAATATAATGGGTCGATTTCTTTTTGTTTCGTGCAACGCAATTAGAAGGACGCCGATTACCACCGATTGCACGCCCGCTTCGTTAATCCGCCGAAATAGAAAGAAATGGCCGGCGCTGCGCGGCAATTATTTATTTCCGCGATAATGACGGAATGGCTTTTCGAGTGCTTAGAGATAACAGGTCGGCGCACGTGCGCGCGCACGCAGCGCATAATAAACAAATTTGTAAAGAGCCACTCAACCACGATAAATTCTCATTAATACGAGATCCAACAAATTGCTCGGATAATTACAGGCGCGCGATCCCGCGATTAATCACTTCAGCGCCGGCTTTGTGATCCGCCGCTACGATAACAACCGCTCGACGTTCTCCGCGCCATTGTTTCCCCCGCGCCATTGTCGGGGGGCTTTCAGTTTCCGTCCATAAACATTTCCAGTACCTAAGGCTCTCGCGTGAGATTCTTCGCGGCATTGTCCACTGAAAATTGTTTCCTACGGCAGACCGTGTCCGAGGAACTCCAGCCATCCCGCGGGAATTCGGCGAACGAGCCTCCCTCGGAAAATTAGCTTAGCCTCCGTTCGCCCCCCGCGCAGGGAGACCGTTTTCGTCGTTCGCCATCCTGGCCCACGCGTCGTTCGCTTATTAACGTTCGAGCACGAAAGACATCCGCGCGATCATTTCCTCAGTTTGTCCTTCTCTCTTTTCTTTTCTCCGTCACGAGTTAACCCTGACAGTAACATATTAGGCTTACGAGGTCTACACGCTTCTTTCGCTCTTCCACGTTTTGTGCAAGATTCCAGTATAAAAGACATGAGTTATGAACTATTACTGACATATAAAAGAGATGTGAAAAATCTGTCAATTAATTGAAATTAATCATAAGTTCCCGCGTATATGATAAAAGAAACCTTATATTAGAAGTAGTTCACTGAAACTTTTGTGTTGCATTAACACGGAAAATTTGTTAAGAAGTACACAAATATATGTTAAATTAACATATTCACCATATTTTTATTTTTTAAGATGTTCAAGTATATGAATTTTATGTCACAAATAGTCCAGACAAAAATTTGAGTGGACCATTTGTAACACAAAATTGTTTATTATATATGCGCCTGCCTACAGAGACACGTTCGGCTATTAGTACTTTTACCTTTGGAGCAAGACTCACGAAAGGGAATCATTGTTGACTTACCAAAACGGTATAGAACACGCAGACGGCGCAGACGATCGTCCCGATCAAATGTATGTCGATACCGCTCACTGCAATCGAACAATGACAAGTTGAATGAAAGTAAATCGAACGCTTTCGCGCGCGAATGCAAGCTTCCTGGCGACATACCTTGATTCAACGCCAGCGCAGGAACGTACACGACGATCGATTGGTAGAGTATCTGAAATCAGTCGATTCCCTTTATTCACGCGCGAATTTGTTCGAGACGGAAAGCGTCTTATGGATCGGCCTGAACGGACCTCACGAGCGAGGTCTCTTCAACACTCACCACGTCGAAGACGAAAATGAAAGAAATGAGAATCCGTACGGCTCGACTGAATCTGATTTCCAAGTACTAAAAGAGGAGAAGGATACACTGTGAAGCTATTGAATAAGCGATATTATTGCGTTAACGCGAAACGACGAACTCTCTCGCCCGACTCGAAATTTTCACGCTATCTTCGACGTCCTTAAGGATAGTTTGAGCCTACTTAAATGTAGAACTAATAAAAACCTACTTTAACGACACTACATTCACGAACTTTTCTCTCTTGAACTTTTAATGTTATAGATTTAATTTTAATGCTACCTTAAAGTCTTAAATGTTCTCGATATTTGGATTACTGAATTCATACAAGTGTTCAAAACAACCTATTTTGATGCCAAAACCAGTGAAAACGGACATTATCAAAATAGAAATAAATTATATCATTAGAATTGAAGCTATTTTGTTATCTTAAGACCTTGCCGGAATGGCTGACTTATCAATTCAAGATAATGTTTAATGCCTTAAGTCTTTAAGTAACGCACAATGATTGTCTTCAGTTTTAAACTAAAAGAACCGTTCTGTTTGTGATTGACAAACCGTTGTAAAATAAAAAAATAAACAAATGATAACTTAGATAAAGATATAGAGTGTAAATTATTGTGTTAAAATTATCAGTCAACCATTCGACTAAAGCCTTTAGCTTTTATTGTAACATAGATTTAAAAAACTGCTTTTTCAATTTTTGCTTGGAAAGAAACCGAAAAAATTCGTGGAAAAATCGAAAAACTCCATTTTTTTCATTAATTCGCGGAAAGAAAGTGGAAGAATTGAAAACCCCCGAACTTTTTCCGAGCCTTTAAAACTATACATTGTAGAATTAAAGGTTTAACGTAGAATGAAAATTTCGACTCGGGTAGAAAAAAGAATGGAGCATGCGAACGAATCACTACTAACCTCGTAAACGGAGCTAAGCCTCAAGGTGGTGAAGACCGGGAGATAAACGGTGGCGACGACGAGGCCACAGAACAAGATCGATATGATCGTGATCCAATATTGCGTGCCAAAGTTGTAGATTTCCGCCGGAGTGCCCAGAATCGTCACGCCTGATATGAAGCTACAGTTACGACCGGAATTGATTAAATATTTTGCATGATTAATCGATCGGGAACCGAACGACTCGACAACGAAACAACAATTTCGATGTGATGTCAATCGCTGACACGTATCGACGCGAAATAGAACGATTCAACGAGCACCGCGAACGCTTGACATACGACAATGCCGTTCTTTTCTTTCTCTTCCTTTGGCGAATTTATCAAAGATTTAACCGATTAAAAATTAATGAGAGCGATCGCGGCGGTCGACGACAGTTTTGCGCCTCTCCGGCGCCGTCGGTCGACTCTCAATTCCTCCGTCGCGTTTTCAAGCGTTTCAAAGCGCTCGTTCCTCTTTTTCTTCCATTCCCTTTCACTCCGGTCGTTTATTTTTACTTAATAGCCTTAAATCCTTCCGAGCTCACCTGGCAACGAGAGACGCGGACACGGGGAAGAGTCCTAAGCTCTTCCCGCCGAGCAGGTAGTCCTGCGTGTTCGACTTTTGCGCCCTTCTGAAGTGCCATAAGCCGGCTGCGGCGGACACGACGAGCATAAGCGCAAACACGAGCCAATCGATCCAATGGAAGTATCCTCTTTCCGATACAACCACCATCTTGCCTGAAACCAAAGGGAGCCGAATCAATCGTGCACGCACAATGTATTTGAGACGGTGGTGCGCGATCCGTTCGCGAAATTTTCATGCAATCTCGAATTCGCCGCCGATTGAAGGGCGAATCTCGAGTCGAAATTTTACTTCTACATTAAGTCTACTTAGCTCTGTGTTAAGTCTTCAAATGGATAAGACAGAAATAACTTCCCATTTATAGCATCAAAGGAGTATTATTAATGCTCCTTTGATGCTAAAAAGGGAATTTGGATGTTCCAGGAGGAATTTTAAATTCTACATTAAGTCTTCAAATGGAGAAAACGGAAATAACTTGCATCAACAGGAACGCAACAGAAGACTTTTGAAAACTTAATGTAGAGCCACTAATGTATGTTGTGAGTAATATCTACTAATGTATACTGAAAAAAGTATTTGATAATAAGTACTAAAATTTGGTGAATATTTGCCGACCAAATATTTGATTAATGCAACCAAACAATTTAGTTCCGTGTACTAAATATACAATATACATGGGATTATATACACGATATTATATATACAGTGCGGAACTAAATTATTTAGTTGTAGTTTAACCCAATATTTGGTCGGCAAATATTCACCAAATTTTAGTACTTATGTAAAATTTTAACCGAACACATGTGAACCTTACGAAAATCAAATTTACTTCATCCAAGCAAAAATTTGCTGAGGAAATATTCGGAAGTGTATATCGGAGTAATTATTCACCGATTCTAGCATTTTTCTTGTCTGAATGCAGTTTCGGACGCAGCGTATATCCAATAAGAGAGCCAGACTTCTAGGAATTATTCAGAATCAAGGTCTCTCACATGGAGCTGTCGGATGCATTTCGAACTGCGTCGAGAGAAAAAAAAAAAGCGTCCAAACCGTATCGAAACTACTGTACTGTACTGTTGTAAAATACACCACGGTAACCTAATTACAGCGCGTGTTAAAGCAACTATTCTGTCGGTTAGTGCACAACGCTAGACAAGAGAGATCACCTTGGCACCACGCAGGGATTAATTACTAACGATCTAATGACTAACGTCAGTCTCAATAATCGCGCCACATCAGCCGGATGAACAAACTCGCGCACGACATGCGTTGGCTGCGAGAAACGACGGACGTTTTTTGAAAATACCTGTCGATCATACTTCTGATCGTTGCACACGAGGCGCACGAAAACCTGTTCCCCATCTCTCTTTTTCGGCGACTTATCTCTTTTAAATCGGCGACAAATCGTACTACTTGATGAGTCATGACGTCTCTCTCTCTCTCTCTCTATCTATCTATCTATCGGGTTATAAAATTGCTGCACTGATATTTTTAATCCACGAGTCCTTCGGCAAGGACTATCGGCTGGCACGTCGCCAAATATATTCCGTTTCGGTTTTTTATTAGCTCACCGCCGCCGCTCGCAATGCGTTTGTTCACCGTTCGTATTAGCAACTTCGTCGGGATTGTTAAGTATGTATATCTAATTAAGCGTCGTGTATACATGCACGCGAGACGGAAAACGCGAAACGAAAATTTATCCCGCTCGTATCATCGTCAATTGATCGGAAAGGATATCGCGCATCCGGAATGGTCACATGGACTGAAGCTGTCATTGCCATTGTGCGCTCTTATCGTCGGCGTTAGCTTCTCACGACAACAGCGACTGACCTGTGGACTTCTCCGTGCACGTGATAGTAATTTGTTCTCGTTAACGCTGAATGACAATCGCGACGACATTCTCCCGGTTACGCGGCAGCGGCCATCCCTGAAATCCCGTGCTCGTCTTTCGAAGTGCCGCGAGACGCGAGATCGCATCGACAGCATGAAGATCGTTCTCCCTACAACTGAGGTAGATAGATAGAAGTGATACAAGCATGACAGAAGATTCATGAAATTATGACTTTGGAATTTACAGATTTAATTCTTTCCGAATAAGTTGTTCAATATATTTAAGTTGCACATGTTAGTAACTATGTACAAAATTATTCATGCATACAATATTCTATTTATTACAATTACAAATAATTTTGCTTATATATAGCTAAGTAAAATTATAAATTTAAATTACTACAACTTTAAATACGACAACTAAAACTTTCTTGCGATAACATAGTTTTGCGATAGAATAGTCGAGTATTTTTAGGCTGCGTTCCGATATTCACTGCCAGTACTAAGAATTTACATTATATGTAACTAGAATTAGGAATTCACCCATTAGATACTGATAGTGCAAATCAGAACGCAGCCTTGGAAGTAATATAAACAATTGAATATGGAGGACTTAAAGGCGTTCTACAATGCTCCCTGAAATCATGGACAAGTCGCAACGCAACGTCATGAAAAAGTCAAATTATATCGTCCTATTTAAGATATCAAATGATTATTTTTTGACGTCCTGATCCGTCTTGGCTTTACGTTCTGTACGGGAAAGTCGACCGATGACACGGTTCCACCGTCGTCGTATACGTTGTCGCCGAAGACGGCGCACGAGAGCTCAAAGTTCCGTTATTTTCCAATCAATCTCGCCGGAGTCAATTGGCCGGAGTCAACGTGAGCGGAAACTAGTCCGTCGAGTAAGCCGATCGTGAAGCGCGTCGGTTCTCGTTACGAAAGCGCATATGTAACGAGATCTACACGCGTGCGTACACAATCGAAACGCGACGCGACTTTAGGTAACTTTGTGTCTTCACTTTCCCACGACTCACTCGTGGGGTTCAAGAGGAAATCAGCCCAGCGGAAATCACGGAAATTGGAAATCACGGAGTCTTAATTGCGCTTATCTCCGGAGCGGCGTTATCTTCCAAATTCTACGGTCGTTCAGACGATTCTCCAGTGTGCGTTATCGCTATATAAATTTGAACGTCGCTCGCGACGACCGTTCAGTTGGGACGATAATGACATGTTATTGAATAGTTCAAGACGCGCGCGTACAATTATAACCGATAATGCGCGAACGCGGAGGAAACCGTTGTTTGAGAAGCAGATTAAGTACCACGGCGAGTTCAGCAAAACACTCGATGATTACTTCCTCCTCCTCCTCGGGTTCTCCTACGTAATTACTCGGCGCGTGAAGCACGACGGGAGCAATCTCGACGGCTAACAGCGGATTAATCGACGTTACCGACGGTCAGGCGAGCGAGCACGAGATAACGTCGACGGACGATACGCGAGTGCATTTCCACCTCGTTATAAAAATAGTCGTCTTTTATATTTAGTACGGCCATGACGAGACGGCTATTCTTTCTCTCCGTCTCGGACATTCGCGAGGAGACGACTGGAAAACTTCCGAGAATGCACGCACGTTTCCCGCTAATCGGCGATCGATAAGAGAGCGGGAGTTTTCCAAAGGGCTTTTTTTTTCGTCCACCGGAAAAGCGACTTCGACTTCCCGCCGAGAAGTCCCGGTAATTTCCTTTCCTGCGGATCGACCTGCTCGCGTGTCCTCTACGACGTTCTCGCAGAGTTTCGGTTTCTCAACCGTGACGTCAACACAGCCGGAGAGAATCGCTTTCTTCGTTAATTGCTGAAAATTTACCGGCAATTGACACTCCAATTGGGACCTTGACCATCTCCGTTCATGGGAGAACCCGGCGGGTCACCTTCCTCGATTATACGCGATGTAGTTGTTTTCACATTTGTTGACTGCGTCGAACGCGTGCTTGAACGGCGCCAAAAATTCGACCTTTCTATTTTTATGAAATATTTCGAGTGACGGCGTTGCATGCGAGATGACGAGGAGCGAATTTCGTTAGCCCGCATACGAGAATTCGATCGCGGCAATTTGACGAATAGAGATCTCCGGATCCACGTCCCAGCAGAGATTCGCTTCAAGTTTGTTCGTGCGTGAGAAACGTCCGTTGCCGGAAACTCTGCCAAGAACTACTTCAGTAAGCAAGAAATCGAACACAATATTATTATATTGAAAGAAAAAAGTGCTACGTTTAAATAAATAATTATTCCGATACTTCTGAGCAAGTTTTTACTTGGATTAAGTAAATATTACTTGAATTCAACACTTTTTTCGTGATATTCAAGTGATATATTTACTTAATTTATTTAATAAAAATTTGGTCGGCAATTTTGGAATAATTATTTACTTGAATGTAGCACTTTTTCTTTCAGTATACAATACTTCAAAATATCCCAATCGACACAGAGCATCATTTATATAACACTTATGTTATAATTTTGCATTTAATAACGTAAGTGCAATATTATATTATACAATATTATATTATTTATATTTACATTGTTGAAATTATAATATAGATGGTATTTAAATGATATTCGATGTCGCCTGGGATGTAACGTTTTTAAATATATAGTTTTTAATGTTAATGTTTTAATGTATGAATATTACATCGTCAAGTAACAGTTTAAAAATATTTATAAGATATTATGTCACAATGCTTATAAAACACACATAAAATCAACGTTTCAAAAGATTGATTTAATGTTTTTTGTTTACTTACTCCTAAGAATCCTCTTTTCTTCATTCCATCTACATTCGGCTTTGTTTTTTTCTCGATGTTATTAAATGCAAATACATGCGTCCGGTGTCTCACATTAAAAACATTCGACGCGTTCGATGCTCATGACCTCGATACATGATTAATAAACGTTTATCTCTCTTTCTCTCGCTCTTCGAGTTTAAGATTTTTGTTAACAGATACCGCACGTACGACGCGGAAACGCGCGCGTATCGGCACGCGCGCGTGCGCTGATTTCGCGAAAAACGTTTTCAAAACAAACATGGAAATGTTCGCTCTCTGCCGCTTCCAATGCTCCTTCTTCCATCGATTCGAGTTCGAGATATCGCGACAATATCGTATTCGTGCCCTGCCGTAATTCCGACTGTCACCGACCGCAAGACTTACCGATTGGCCGAGTGACGACAGCAGTGACGAGAATAACAAAAACACGGCCGGCTTATCCCCGCGAGAGTCGCAGGTGGCTTTTTTCGGCCGATTGAGGAGTCCCAGTCGCGTGCCTGTATACTGCTGATTCCTCTTCTCGCGCTTCGGGCACGTTCACATGGTGCGAAAATTCGCAGCACGATTAACGCGTGGTTACACGTAAAACTCGCACCGAATTGCGTGCCGTGACAGGCAACGAGGGGTCGGTCTTACCGGCGAGATCGCGTCGCAAAAACGGATGGGCAAGTGAGTGCGCGCACGCGATACGTTCGCGAGCGACGACCACGATCGACTGAGCGCGTGCGCCCGACGATCCCGTCGCCGGACAGATCGGTCTTTCACCGAGGAAAGACGGGATTGACAGGCGAACACGGCGGTTTCCCCTAAGTCGATTCGCCGCCGTTTGTATCGATCGACCGATCGTTTCGACTTCTATTTGAGTTGCGCGCGCGTGCCATCGTTCGTAATTTGAAAATCCAACTTTTGCTTGCGTAGAATGTTTCTTGGAATCTAATCACCCGGTGCGACTTCCTAAAATAGTTATGGATTCTAGTTGGGAAGTCCGCGTAGATTTCCGATTAGAGGTTTGATGTTTCGAACCTAAGGGATTCTAAGGGAAATATAAACAGAACCTATTTGTTTACCTCCAAACGTTTCTTAAAGATCTTCTTTCTGTTTTCCACTGCGATTGTGCAAAACGTACAAAAACGTTATATATAAGCACTATGGAGAATTGAACTCTTTGTATATGGGAAAATCTGAGAAAATCTCTATGCGGCCGATCGAATCGGATCTTTTATTCGACGCTCCACTTTGTGTACCACCGTCTTATCGCTTCTATTGTGGGCACTCAAAAGATTATCTTAATAGGATGACTTTCACTCAATTCCAATTGAACTGAGTCATGATAAAACCTTTGCAAACCTGTGTTGAAATTTGCCCGATAAAATACTTCCACCGTTTACCAGACGTACGTTTAGAATTTCCGACAAATTCGCATAATCAATAAGTTGGTTACAACACTTGTCGAAGCACCATCTTTACTTTTACGAGATTATTTTGGTACTGTTGAAACATATATTTGGAATTACTACTTTTAACATTATTTAGCAAAAGTAAATACGCTTCGAAACAAGGTTAACTGTTGAAATTGCCAACAGTGATCTTTAGCTGTGCAATTTATCGTCCAACAATGAAAGAATTACCAATCCTGTGTACACTATCAGAATAGAACAAACGATACTTGATTGATAGTGATTTTAAATTGAATGCGTTTTTTATCATTCAATAATTTTAAATAACTAACAAAAGGCCAAAAGAAATTCCTTATTCGCTTTTACAACGTTCTTATCTTTCACATTGACAACTCTGATAACTACATAAATCATCAATCAGCTTAATCAAAGTCTAGCGATAGTCACAACTTTGGGTTATCTCGTTGTTCTTCAACATTCGTGAACATTTGAAACCTTCGTGCGGCAAAGAACGACGCATGTAGCAAACGAAGAAACGGGGCTTCACCGAGTAAATATCCCACGTAATTCGCAGTTAGGCAGTCTCAATAGACAAATAACACATACGAAAAGAATACCCTGACATCAGCGACTGTGAATAAAGAATGATGACTTCTGCATTTACGTAGCGGCTAATAGTCCTCTCCTCCGCTACGTACACATCGTTGACACTTTTCTCAGTGTGCACACAAACCTACCTCTCACTTGCTGCTCGGCATTCAATTCCAATTCAATGTATAGCATTAGCAGGGCCGATGACCCCGGCCGGTTCTTGCGGATTTCACCAGCCGAAATGGAGAGCCGGAAAGGCGAGGAGCCGGCTTTCGAGATCGTCATTCTGAACGTTTTATTAGTCATTATTATAAATGTACAATAATATACAACTATTCTCTCAATGACCAAATGACACGTTCCCAATGACCTAAGATACGAGAACAAACCAACGTCCCTTCGCCTTCCGAGCGCGGCTCCCACACAGCGCGCATGGTCGCGAAACGAAAACGAAGGTCAACTGATGTAATCGAACGCGCACGCATGTAACGGAAATTGGAGTAAAACACAACTAGAAGTATGCTCGACCGGCAAGCGCGAAATATGCGCCGTGAGGGTGTCCCGTATTGTTGACGATCGTCGCCTTCAAAGTGGAATGCAATTGTTGAGAGACGTATGAAACTACTAAATACGTACGCACACAGAGTCGTCGTGTTGGATGGACGATTAGAAGAGTGATTCGCGCGATCGCGCATCGTGAACAAATGTAAGACTGTTGCCGCATCGTTTCCGTAAAACGACACAGTTTCACTTGTACACGATTCAACGCCAACAACGATGATCTTGTACAAGCCGTTATGATGCGACGTTTTTATACGTGGCAATCCGTACGCGAACGACGCAGCGGGAACCGTTCATCTACACTTTATATACACGTAGTATACGAATCTTTTCTTCTCCTCCTCCTTCTTCTTCTTCTTCTTCTCTCTCTCTCTCTCTCTTTCTCGAGCGCTACCTCGCGTGACTAATATTCGTTGTCGATGCGCTGACAAGATTACCAAACGTCCCGGGAAAATGAAACCAACAGATCGGCCAAGATCTTCGTCCAGGTTGGGCTCTCGCGCGACCGAGAATTATATATTTCCCACGTCGTGTTCGATAAATATACGCTAATATGCCAAGGCAAATACTGATTTGACAATTATTATCGTACACAGTGTCAACATCGACAATAAATAGCAACCGTTCGGAGCGCTGCGCTTCTTGTTCCACGGAGAAGAGGTTGACAATGTTGAAGAGTGAGCAATTTCAATTCTTTAGGCGGTGACGGATCCCTGGAACCGCCGTGCATATATTCATATTTTTCCGCATCGCATTTTCTCTTACTCTCGTACACAAAAAACAAAGAACATTCTTATGTGATGTAAAATATAAAATGCGATTGCAGACGATGAGTTGTGTGTGTGTATGTGTGTGTGAGTATATATATGTACGTGTATATATATATATTTGTATGTGTTTATTTTGTGTGTGTGTGTGTGTGTGTGTGTTTAGCGTGTGCGAATGAGTGTACGTGTATCCGCAGGAACATCATCGGTTCTTAAATATAAAAACTGTCAGCCCTTAACGTGGAACAAGATTAGTAACAAAAGTTACATAGAAAAATCTTTGATACAGTCTGTCATCGATTAAAGATAATTTCATCACAGCTTGTGTTGTCTTCCCTCGCCAAAGAGCCACAGGCAGACTCTGTCGGCAATGTAAGCGAAGGCAAAATCCGCGACTAACACTTGCACCAGTATCACACGGAACTGCAACATGCAAGAGTGAAGAGACATCACTTGTGAGTGGCGCAATCGGAATCGGGCTTGTCTTGCACGACCACTTACCTGGCTTGGAAAGTCCACGATCTCGAATTGCACCGCCAGGTTGGGCAGAAATCCACAGGCCAGCAATAGAATAACGACGGAGTTGCCCAACAGACTCACCATCAAAGCCTTGTTCTGTCGCAGGCTCTCCATAAACGGCAGACCCTGACGGAATGTGACGTCTCTTGTCAACGATATCGTACGACACATCGATCCATACACGAAATATAATAATATAATAAATATTACATATATACGCGTAGGACTCACTCGATAATTGATGGCGAAGGTAGAGACTTGAAGGGACATCGCGATTATGTACACGGTACTGTTGATTATATTCGCCTCAAAAGGTTCCTCGTCGCTGGTGTCATCGTTAGCTGCCGCCGTTATTGAGTCCAACTTCTCGCTGGAGTTACTATGCAACATGGCCGCTAATTTGTGGTCCCTGTAAGAAGCAATCAGTAACAAGTCGCATACTTGTAGTTAAGGTCGATAAGAACAAAAAAGTCTTCTACCATTTTGCAAACAACTATGCCAGATTTTGAGTTATAAATTATTAAAAATGGCCATGTATGAGGCTTCTTTAATTAATAACTCAAAAATCTTTGTGGTTATTTGCAAAATGGTAAAGGACTTTTTTATTCAGCTTCAGAATAGCCTAATCCATAACTATGACAGCTGCTGTATCTAGCGACAATTTTAAGGTTCGAAGTTAAATATACCGATGTCTGTCAAGCCGGATGACAAAGCTTGTGTCAAACATCCTGTATAGACTGCTTGTACGGGTTCTGAATATAACTACAGAAAAATTGCTGCAGTTACACATCCACAGGCATGTTATCTTCGTCTCACGGGAGGAAAAGTTCTCCAGCTTCTCCAGATTTTATCGACGAGTGTCAGGTTGGACGAAGATAGATTGCCCGTGATATTTTCTGATCAGGTCTTCACGGCCTCTTGGTGGAGGCGCTTGGAGACTATTTCTATAAATCTACATAACGAACAACTGATTTCCACAACTCACTTTGGAGACAAGGCAGTAGCCTCCTTCACCAGATAGACGAGGCAGACGAAGTGTACGGTGAATTGCAGCAACACGGTCGCGATGGTGTAGAGATTGAAAATATTCGGCAGCGGTCTCTGCTGCGACAGAGTCTTCAAGGGTTTGGAGCGCGAGATGAAGAGGAAACACGCCGCCAAGAGGACACCCTGCAGAGTCGCCTGCATATCGCTGAACTTGATCCCGTCCAGATACAGCACCGACTGACTGTAGGCGAGTATCAACGCGTTTAAAGCCAGAATCTTGAACATCTGCAGGGTGGTGACTAACGTGCAGCGTCCTTGCTTGATTACGTGGCATACTGCAAAAACGAACCACAAACGATTGTTCCACATCGAATGGGCAGAGTATCTCGCGAGGACTTACTGCATTGGATGGAGGACATCTTGCTAGTGAAGGGCGCCGCGATCGAGGCGTCGCCGAGTTTCACGGTCGTGGGCAACTCTTGCGACTCGTTCTCGACGTCCTTCAGAATCTTCTGCAGTTTCGTGCGGGTGTTCATCATCGGTGTTTTCGAGCTCGCTCTTGGTCCGTTGTTTATAGGCGACATGTCGTTCCGCGAGTCGTCCCGCTTGTCGGGAAGCATTTTTTTGGGTGGACTAGAAAGAATTGCGACCCCTGTCGAAAAAGGAGTGAGAAAAGAGCGGCATTCAAAATTTTCAGATTTTTAATTAAACATCCTGATGTTAACGCGTTGTTAGCTGATTATGATATCGTGTTTTGCCATCGGCCAATCAAGGCCAGATTAGACGATGTTAAAAATAGCGTAAAGTAGGCAGTAAGCTAATTTGACCAATTGGACTCTTAAAGTCCAAGAATAATCGACTGTGGTTGGTCAATTGGCTTACTATTTACGCCTTATTGCATATTTTCCCCGCTACTGTAGAACGGTTTTAACAACATGCTTTTCAGCAGGCGTTAAACTCACCCACTTGTGCGTGCTTCAAGGCACCTACGTCGTTCGTTCCGTCTCCGCACATCAACGTCGTGTAACCGAGGGATCGCAGCGTTACGATGATGAATTCCTTCTGCTTTGGTGCGCATCGCGCGAATATCACGATGTGCGGCAGTAACTTCCACAAGAGATCGTGTTCATACTCTTTCAGATACGCTAAACCCTGAAAGTAGATCACTATTATTTCCCAGAAATACAAAACGGCACAAAAATGACCATTTTTATATTTTATACAATCTCCTTGTGGTTACGTTTTTACTTCTTTCTTGCGTCTTATTTATATATTCGTCATAATTGAAGCAGGAGAATAGATTATCGTTGCAAACAATCTACTACGCACCTCACCCGTCACGCAGAGCGCGTAATCGTGCCAGATCTGCTTGCGTGGCTCAATGTTGCTCGCATTCAAAGAAAGCTGCATCATCTTGTCTATGCTTTCCCAATACCATTCGTTGTCATTCTCGGTCAAGATGAGCGTGTTGGGTTTCTTCGTAAAGTGTAGCTCGCGACTCACGTGACAAGCCGTCAGCGGATTGTCACCGGTGATCATTACCACCTGAGCAAGATTCGTCGAAATTGCTCGTCATTATTTGACAATCGGATTACATGTCGCAGACGAGATTTCTCAACTGGGGATTTAACCGAGTGTACAAACCGAATGCGAAGAATTGACGATCTCCTTAATGACGGCTTTCGAGTCGGGCTTAAGAGGGCAACTGATAATAACGAAACCGGCAAACGTGAGATTACTTTCCAACCTCTCACGAGTCAATTCCCTCAGGTCTTGGGAGGATAAAGTGCCAGGGAGCTTCCGGTATCCCAGAGCGAGCACCCTCGCGCCACGTCGTGAGAGAGACAAGTATGTTGACTCGTAATTTTCCGGTATAGTGGATAACTGCGGGGGAAAAATAATTTCCGGCAGACCGATTATGTTGATCGATTCAGGCTCGGTTTCTCATTATCTGGTTAACTCCTGGTTCTGGTTCAGGCTTTACTTGATAATATAAAAATTATTTTAAATTAGCTTTTCTACTCACGTTTAATTATTGAAGTTTAAAAGTTACCACTACAGAACCATCAGTTTAATGATTGAATATGAATAAAAAAAAGTATAATTTTTGCATTATCATCAGGTTAGCCAGAAAATGAATTAACCGGATTTCAGGGAAAAGTGGGAGGCGAATAATTTTAAAACGACGTCGTGGACAATCATTGCTTCACCCACCATATTTTTCAGAGTTTCCGGCGCGCCTTTCACTGTAGTCATATAATGCGTCTCCGAAGCTCCGGGCAAGTTATAGCCGACCACGACGCTCATTCTCTTCAAAGCTGGCGAGAAATGGTGTCTCTGTATAATCTTCAATACCGGAGACTTGCTTTTCTTAGGAATCACCGAGTCATCTAAACGAGACATTGATAATGTAATGAAAAGGAACGGAACGCATCGATGAATTGATACTGACTTTTCGTGAGACTCCAATTGATAGCCTTGAGAGTAGCCTTTTCCAGCGGGTCGCCGACGATAGAATCGTCTAACTGTACCAAGGAGTGACACGTGGCGAGCACTTGAACGCTCTCCAGAGGCGCTTCAGAGAGTTGGATCACGTTCGAGTTCCCACTTGAGAGGATGAAAGTCGCGTTGGTGAAAAAATAAAGAGGTTTTTTGATACACTTTTAACGAAAATTATAAAGAAAACCATTCACTCACTCAATTCCCGCGACACCCTCGACCACCAGGTTATCGCTGGTAAGTGTACCGGTCTTGTCGAAGCAGCAAATGTCGACCTTGCCGGCAAACGGGATCCGAAACGGTTCCGTGCAGAACACACCTACAAAAGCACAAGGCAACAGTGACTTGGACACATACACGAAATCAAGGCCGAGTTTTTTTTCCCGAAATTATACATTTGTCTTAAATACCTAACTTGGATAGCGCTACCAGAGACGTATTGACAGCCAGCGACAATTCTATGGGTAGTTCCGGCGGCACTACGGAAGTCAGGATCAGCGTGCACTCTAAGAACAGTTTGTACTTGTTCCTCGTGGGATCCTCGCTGCCTGAAATCGAGATTCGCGAGATGAGAATCTGCCAATTCACGACTCTAATGTCCAACAACACGGTCGAAGAACGAATTACCTTTTATCCAGACGTACGAGGCAGCGGCGATCGCGAAGATCAGCAGGAACAGGATGAAGCCGAAAGTCTCGAGATTGTTAGCCGTGACGCGTTTAACGCCGAACAGTATCGTCCGTAAGAGTTTGCCCTGCGACGTGGAGAAGCCGGTACGCAGTACATAAGCGACGCATCCGTTGTCGGCCGCTGAAACAATGTCGTCGTGTTGATACGCTCTCGAGAGCGAACGTGACGGAAAACAAAACTTCTTTCTAAAAGCCTTTACACAAATTTTTAGTCATGACTGTAAGAAAATTAACTAATCGTAGTCAATTATTCTTCGACCGCAAGGAGAATAATCAGCTATGATTGGTCAATTTTCTTACTCTACGGATTTACGATTGACTAAACGTTCTTTCTTACGTGCAAAGATATTTCAGGAAAAGCAACGAAAACCGGATTCGACACCCACCTCTGATGTCTTCTAATCTTATGTAATGATAGGTCAGACAATACCTCGGAGACCGGGAGTGTTTTTACTGGGAGGCGTGTGTTGCACGACTCTCGTACCGCCAAAGAGCACGTGCAATTTGTCGTCGCCCTCGATGTCCAGATTTCGATTTCCGTCTATGTCCTCTATGGGCTCCTTCATTTGCGGCACGGATTCACCTAGGCATTTTTGCAGTCGCTATAGCCGTGCGATCGGCTCAAATCGAAGACGCTAGTTGCTCATTTCAAGTACCTGTCAGCATACTCTCGTCGACTACGCAGGGACCTCGCAACAGCAGCATGTCACATGGCACCAGATTATCCTGCCGAGGTCTCGTGATGGAGACGATATCTCCGGGCACCAGCTGGTCTGAAAATAACAAACGCCATCGCCTATTTCTGTATACCTAAAAGGGACAGAGAGAATAAGTGTGGATGAATTGCTCGTATGATGAGACCCGATCGCAAGCACTCACGACCAACACACGCACGCATCATCCGTACCATAATCATGTATGGTTTATTGCCCATCTTGCGAATCTCAGCCATATTTCTCAACTGTTGTTGTACCAGCGTGCACTCGAACATGATGAGCATGATTAGCGTGAAGATGCTGTAGTACCAGTACTTGTCCAGGCACCAGAGCGCCACGCAAAAGATTTGAAAGACGAAGAACGGCGCGACCGCACGCTCCTTGAAGAGCTCCCAGAACTCGGGCACGACCATGTCCAAACTGGAGTGAAATCAGGCTTTTTTAGGTCATATGCGGAGTACCAGGCGAGGTTAAGATCGATGGGACCGATTGGACAGCGCAACATACATGTTTTTGCCGTATTTCTCCTCCGCCGCTGAGATTTCTTTCTCATCGAGATATCCTTTCCACTCGCAATAATGCTTCACGGAATGATTGATGGGGAACTGCAGACCCATGAACGACTTCTTCGACGGGTCCCAGTGGTACTTGGTCTTTTGAAAGATGAACCACGGCTCTTGCTGCTCCTTGTGACGCAGCATGATCAACTCGGTGCTCCCGTTATTCGGTGTAGGCACCACCTTCACTATTCTGGCCTTGTAAGGATCTTTCTCCTAGAATCCCATTCATAAATTCAGTGAAATATCTAATTCCAATTCAGTAAAAAAGAACAGACCTAATTATACAAGTGTTGAACCTCTGCTAAGACTGAATCTATAATAGATGTGGAAGTCTTTAGCTTTTTGCTCAAAGCACTACATTGTAACATAATTTCTAGCAAAAAACGTTTCCAGACATTGCAATTTCTAAGATTTAAGCATTATTATGACTTTTGACAGCACATAAAACACCTTTTGTTAAAAATTATATTTTATTGTTTAGAGCAAACAGACTTAACTCTGTTGAAAAGAAACAAGGTGGCAATCCATAAGGAATCTCACGGTAGCTCCTAAAGATTTGCCCCAAGATTCTAGATCCTAGGTAACAATCTATTTGGATTCTATATGGATTTTCACACACTATATGGGTTGCTATATGGAATTTTAGTGTCCTATATGAATTCCCACGAGTTCCCTTGGATTCTCATAGAAATCCATCTGGGAATTTTCAACAGGAATTACACTTATTGTTAGATCTGGATTAATGGATTAAAATACATCTTGCGCCATTATTCTATAATTTTTAACATTACAGGCATGACGCATGTGTTAAAAATTTTTGAGCAGATAAAGGCTACACTCCGATATTCACTACCAATACTGAAAATCTATAGTATATGTGACATAAACTATAGATTTTTAATATTGGCAGTGATTTCCGGAACACGGCTAAAATATGTCACAAAATAGTTGCGCAACAATATGTTAACGCAATTTTCGACGCAAGTCACAGAATAAGGAGACTAGGTGTCGAGTTCGAGTGTTCCCGCCGAGCTGCCACGTGACCGGCCTAGCAGAAGACCGGTTCGAATGGCTGCCACGTTACGAGACATATTGGGATCACACACGTAGAGAACCACGTGTCCATTGTTCAAACAAATGGAGTCCGGCGGGCGCTGTTTAGCACTCACCGAGCTGCAGTTGACGAACGTATGGATGTGCACGGACCATTGACAGCAGAGGCAGAGGAGGACCTGCAGCACGCCGATAGCCGCGATGCCCACCAGGCCCGCGTCATAGTACTCGTCGACACCGTAGACGAAGACCCAGCAGTTGACCCACAGGGACTGCAGTATCAGGAATGGCATGATGTAGCCGTTGAACATCCATCTGCGCGGATTGTGCAGGCTGACCGACTGCACGAGCTCGTCTATCCGTGGCGAGGTCACCGCCATGATTACGCTGGACGACAGTTAACAAGTCGTCACGACGAGCGAGCAACGTTCTAACGTCCGACAGCCTCGGGTCTTAAATTCACATCGACGGTGTCTTTGAACGCTCGTCGATTCTCTCTCTCTCTCTCTCTCTCGAGCGATCGCAGGCTTCTCTCGGGTGTTCTCAGACGCGACACGGACGCGCCGGCACCTGCGAGAAAATCTGAGGTGAATGACGAGACAGATCGAACAGCGACAGGGTTATGTGTGTCGCGTATCGGAATACAGCCGTGGACGCTACAAGCGCGCCAGCAATGTCAACACAGCACCAGCGGGTGAACTGGTTCGAACCAGTCGGCCAAGCGCCGTCGCGAACACCAGAGCCACGGTAGCTAACTAAGAGACCAATATGGCCGCGACCGCCATATTCGAACGTCCCGCAATGCCGTCGTTAGGAAGTCGCATATCTTATACATGTAATTAATAGAACACACATCCATGTGTATATTTCCAATATTTAATAATAATATTAAATATTTAATAATATATTTATTAGTCCGTGTGAAACTTCAGTCAAATTGTTTGCGAGATTCAATTAAGTGTCGATCGACGGTGTCGATAGATTTTTCGATATAAATAGAGAAGCGATTGAATTCGATATATCGAAAGTCGGTCATCTTTTTTCTCTCTTCTATTTTTTTTTTCTCTAAGCGAATAAAGACACTATTATTAAAATCAGAGGTATTAAACATCGAGGATTGTAAATTAAAAATCTGAATTTGACGAGTCGATTAATTTCGAACTTGATTCACTCTGTTCAGGTCGATTAAGTTTCAATCTTCAATCCGCAATCTGTAATACCTAATCCGATACAGTGAACCATAGCTATAAAAGCTCGGAAAAATCAATTTTTCTCAACTTTTTCGCGGATGAGTGAAAAAATTAAAAAAACCAGATTTTTAAATTTTTTAATGGATTTTTTTCTATTTCTTTCCGAAGAAAATTGATAAAAGCTTTTTAATTATACATGGGATAATATAGTAATAAAATTTACCGTAAAAGTTTTTACTACAATATTTTCTCCGTGTACAATGAACGACAGACGAAGAAACATCGCCGATGCGAAGTGAAGCCGAAGCGGATAAAGCTTGGACGGATATTCAGTTTGCAAAGTTCACTTGGCGAATCAACGACGGAGAAGATGGGGGAGGGGGGACGGTACACCTCTCAGCGGCGTGTCGAAAAACGTTCGCCGATAATTTCCCGTCGGCCGAGCGGCGCCGTGTTTCAACACGCAGGAGACGGCATATTTCTCTGTGCGTTTCTTTCTCGACCGTCAGCTATAGTAGTAGCTACAGTAGTAGTAGTAGTAATGGCAATGGTAGTAGTAATCCGGTAGCACCGGTCGTAATCAAGATGTATCGGTGTCATCCGGGTAATCCGGAGAAAAACTCAGCCTCGCGCTGTCATAAGGTCGACGGATCCCCCTCGCGCGCGCGCAAGTATCCCAGTGAAAGTATTCGTCTACCGCACGCCTACCCCACCCTGAGCGGAACTCGTGCACGCTTCGCGCCCGAGGAAGGGATCCTTCCAACCACGCATACGTACACCCAGCGTGTCTCACGTTGCTAGGTAGACTCGCTAGGTAGAACCGAATCGCGCCAGTGTCTGGACCCAACGTGGACACTTTCGAGTCACGTTGGCCAAAAGCGACGAGACGTCCGTTACACATGGTCGCTCGCAGCAGTCGTATCCTCCTGCACGCTACTACGATTACACCACCCGGGAGAAGCCGAGAATCCAGCTAGATCGTCGAATTTCGGCCAACGACCGGAGGAGCGGTAAACACCGGCTGCCGTTTCTTACGGAACACGGAAGGAGTGTATCGACTCTCCTCTCATCCTTCGCCCGCACCCTCTTCTCTTCAAGGGTGGCGGCGATTTCGGCTCGCGCGAGATCATTTATCGGGCTTGGTGATACACCGCGATCGCGGCGATCGATTGGCACGCGATGCCAATTAAGTGACTTCGCGGGCTCCTTCCTGCCGAGACACCTGCCGCGCTCCGTCGCAAGCGAGAGAGAGAGAGAGAGAATCCCGTCGCACGCAGGGCTTGGTGAATCATATTGCGATCGATCGAAAATGGCGATCGCGTGGCACCTAATGACAATTGTAAGTGCATCTTGATTCAACATTACGCTAAGAATAGTAACAATCATGCTGCTTGCTCAGTCGGATAGACGCCGCGAGGAGCTGTACTTAAACCTGATGTAACGTCCTTCTCGCGCGCGTTAACGCACAGCGCTCCGCAGAACGCACTTTGTACACCTTTTTAATCGCGGTTTCCATTGACTCATGCATCACGCTGATATACGACTGTCCGGAGATTGGATTACGTGTGTAGATGCTGAATCAGAGCCGGTTAACAGCATCGCAAAAAATGCGCGTTTGTATCATGCAGGAAGGAATTCTGATAAGCGATCGATTACGACGACTCGCCGCGTATTTCATAATAACAAACGGTCCTGCGCGCTCGCTGCGAAAGAAGAGGAGATTACTCGGTGATGACGATCGGCCGACGACGAACTCCTCCGTCGCGAGTTTTGCGCGGACTTTCACACGAGAAAAGAGACGCGTTTGGAATTCTAGTAGGCGAAAGAGAAGCAGAGAGAAAGAAATCGAAAAATAGATATATATCTTGTGCCATCATTATTTGTATGTATTATCTATTGTTGCGCAGAGAGAGAGAGAGAGAAATAGCGATATTTATTGGGCGTTTATAGGAAAGTTAAGTTCTATGTATATATATAAAAGTTCCTCTCAAGTGCAACAATAGATAATATATACAAATAATGATGACACAACAGACATAAGATGAGATTTAAAGTAAAAGTATTTGGCTAGTAGCCGGTAAAATACGTATTAAATCATAGCTAAACCTTAGAATGCTGTGTCATTGTATTTTATTGAAGTTTATATTGGAAAAGTGGCAAAGACGGAGACTAGGCAGACATTTCAGTATAACGCAAGAAAATTCAAAAGGACTGAAAAACTCTCAATATCACGTTCTCAGAAGTAATTAAGTACGATTATTATGCGTTCCCCTTTCAGAAAAGTATGAAAAAGAGTTTAAATTCTCCGATTCTTCTATTGTATCGTGTATTCTCACCAGTAGCCCAATCCACAATCTAATCGCACAACATCGAAAAGAACGTTTATAAGATTCGGTTTAGTTTTTTGGTACCTCAAAAAACTCTGGGGACACTCGAGTGTTTCTACTGGAAAGCATAGTCCTGCGAATACAAGATAATATAAAAGACGAGGTTGCTCTTCTTTCAGTAATCTATAGGTTTGACAATCCAGAAAGCCAGCGGCCCTTTTCGAGAGATACGATAATTCTTACAGCCTTATTTAAAAATTAGCGCGCATGTATGTATGTATGTGTTTGACGACAGTTGTTCTCGATGGTCATCCGGGGCGAGCCTTGCACGGAGTACGGATGTCCGGGACGACCGACGTACGAGCCCTTTGTCCCTGCGCCCCCAGGACTTACCCCCAACTGCGCGCTGCCAGGAGAGACCTTCTGCGAGACTCCGGATCATTATCCACGGCAAGTGCACTCGAAAACTTGCGAGCGCGTCCGGAGAAGGTAGTCGGGACGCTGCGGTGGCGCAACAAGTGGAAATTGGACGCGCGGACGCAGATTGTCGGCGATCGTCGACGAAGACTCGCGCGACCCATTTCCAATTGTTGATATTCCTTTCGCCATGTGTCCGCGTCGTCTCTTCCGTCTTCCTCCGCGCATACGAATGACCAAAGACGAGTGTGGGTGTGTGCGCGAGCACGATGAGAGAGAGAGAGAGAGACGAATCATGGCAGGGAAAGTTCCGCCTAGATTCTCCTTCGCTCCAAGAGAGTGAGAATCCGTTTCTCGAAAGCATCGTGTGCGTTTGCGTTAGCGGGCTTACACAACCGACTATACGGAGAATTCTCGCTCATAAAAAGAGATCCTCCGCCCGCGTCGCGATTAGCCGGAGGGACGAGAGGCAAAATGAGAGAGAAAGAAAGAAACAGGTGGCAGATCACTTCGTCATTTGCCATTTTGTAGTTAAACACTTGTTCGTAGACGCTTGTCTTTCGGACGACGAAGTGTGTGTTACACTTCTTCGTCTGTGATTTTCATCTTTTACATTTCCTTGTCTCTTATATTCTATTGCTTGTATTTTTTTCGCTTGTAACGTTTCTCTTTGTATTATCATCTTGTTTATATTCTACATATACGTATGTACAATACTTCTCATGGTGTGAGTTAATTCTAAACGCATTAAATATCAACTTAAGAGTCAGACCTTAAATTTATGAAATATTTTATTGTCAAATATTTATCAAATACTTAGAATTTATATATGTAATATTCTCTAATATGAACATATTTTTTGTTTTGTTTTTTTTTGATGCATAATTTTTGTACAGAATGTCTAGCGCAACGCGTATGTCTACTTGTGTGCAGTTAGGTGTAGAATTCGCAAAACATAAAAGACCAGTATACTTCGTGTTACTTCTCATTGTTCGTTTAGACAAATCTTCCGTCTAAACAAGCATCAGTCGATTCTTTCTGAGAAAGTCCTCCCATGGTTTTGTATTACATTATTGTCACTGACTAGACGCCGCATTGTCAGACATTTGTCTGGCATTTTCAGGTAACATTTTGATGGACCGTGCAGGTCATAGTGACGAAAACTATTAGTGTGAAACGGACGGTAAAATACAATGTGAAAATAAGTCATCTGTTAGTCATCATAACAGACAGGTTCTAGTATGGATAACACAGGATTATGATTGAAAAATGTTTTAATTCTTTAAACAATAGTTAGATCGAAAGGTCTTTAACTTATCATAGAATTGTAATATTATATTTATGTTTTTCATATTTAATTTAAATATTTACTAAATCTATCAACTTAGCAAGATGAAAGATATTTAATATACAATATATTGTTAGAAATATAAACATAAATGATATTTTACCAACTGGTATATCATATAGATATGTGAATATTATAGATAATGTGAGACTACAAAGCGATTATAAACGACGAACCATCTCGCACGATGAAATGATCCGACGAAGAAGTGTCTACGAATAAATGTCTTATGAGGAAGTAACACATGACGAAGTATCTATGAAGACAAACTAACCGACAAACCGGTTCATTAAAATACTTTTCTTACATACATCATCTACTGTGGTTCGTGAGCGATGTGTCCGGCAGCGTTACGAGTCGATTTCCTAAATTTCCTGTGTACTTTCGCGCCCGACTTCTATCCCGAAGACGTTAAGAGTTACGTAAAGTGAACGGTGCCCCGTCGCCAAGCTACAATGTAAGATCGTTCGTAAGATCGTTGCTCAGCGTACCATGACCGTGGCCTTGATACGGTCATACGCGGCTGGATAATTATCGGACCCGTTACATCTTGCTAAAATAGGCCCGAATCGATCACCAAACAATGCCGTTGTTTCCTCATTATTGCCGTTTCATTCCGACGAGAATAATTCTCATTGAACGAAGCGAACCGATGATAACGAGCATCCGTTGCGTTGGTCACTAGTAACCATTAGCATGATATTATCGCATCTCATTGGGTCACGTGCAAAGATATAATGAATTGCACTGGAAAAGTCGCTCTCGTACACAGAAGAAAGATTAGTAACATTTCAAGATTCTTATATATAAGCAAAAATATATAGTCATAGTTGTATTATGCAAGAAGGATCCAACAAAGAGTACGTTTGCAGAAAAATGAAAGTGAAAATTTGATACATGATTTAAAAAGTATAAATAGCATTAAGGTTCTTCATAATCATTCAAGAAGTCAAGCAAGTCTTTTCTTTATGTAGCCGGTATTCATAGTCGGATTTTATATTTAAAACTGTCTTAAATTTATCTCTGTTTCGTAGCCAATAAAAATGGGCTGTATATAAAATAATTCTTGTATAGCGGGAATATATTTTTAGTAGAACTATGAATTCTTTCACGTAAGCAAGCTTTATCTTCATATAAGATTATACGTTCTTACTTACGTATGAAAATATGAATCTTGAATTGATATGAATTTTTTTTCTCCGTGTACGATCAATGGAGAGCCATTAAACCGAGGGCAAAAGAGATACACGCTCGTCTGGAATGAAACTTAATTATCATACGATGAACACGACTCTCACATTGAAGTCGCATTTCTCGTGGATTTGTTTCGCGAATACATACACTACATTTACCGTGTTTCACTCGCCGCATGTCATTTATCGTATCTTATTATTTGCCGTATCTCCGGTAATTCGACTGTCAATCAAGCTTTCGCATAATCAGCGGAAAGCAAAGCAGCAATCACTGTGTTAAAACAGACCGGGAGAGGGGCCACAGGGCAACGAGTTCGTGCAATATAGTCGTGTTCGGTCTAAGGAACTCGCGGTGACAGCTGTCACTTTCGATAATCGCGCGTGTCGCAGGAGCGAACCGGCGGTCAATTAGTACGTTAAAAGTATCGAATCACTGAATACCGTTGCGCAACGTTGTATGTGCGGCAGTTGGTGGACGCATATCGTCGCGAAACGTCGCGTGTTACCTGGCCGCGGCAAACAAACACACGAGGCTTCGTCTCGCAAAATACTCGCTTGCCCAAGCGAGCTAACGCGGTTGCGCAAAGCGCGCGACCCAATTGAACCAACGCACCTGCGTAAATAATGTTTTTGTCAACCCGCCGGACGAATCTCGGTCAGGACGGATCGGTCGCGGTCTTCGATTACTCGTCCGCCGCGAACGCCACACGCCGGTCGAAGGTCGGGAACTTTGACGCCCAGGAAAACGCATTACATTTTTTTATTCACGCATTGTATTCCTTTCTCGGAGAGTACATAACGCTCTTTTTTCTGTTCTTGTTTCTTTGTCTTTATAGCCGGCTCATCAAGTTTCTCGTCGATAAATGCAGCTTCGACTTTAACACCGCATTGCGGGACGAGTCTCACGAGGACTTCAATACTTACAGGTAGAGACATTTTATCAGCGCTTCCTTCGCGCGAATGTAAAAGTTATTTATTTATTTATTTATTACTAAACGGAAAACATTCTTTGATAACATAGAAAGTATAAGAGAAATCTTTAAACGATAGGAGAAATCAGCGGAACGTTTAAAGAATCTCGTGATTGAGTCGCGAAGTTTCATGCTTTAGTTAGTATCTAAGTTATTAACTTAAGTCAACTTAAAATAATTTGAGTTAGTCATTTGCAAATTGGGGTATCGCTGCTATATTCTTCGCTATCATGTTCAAGTTCTCCTCCGGATTACAGTCGAGGTTACGATTATCCCCGACAAAACAACGCCGGGTTGTTCGCGCAGGTCCCGTCGACGGAACAGCCACCCTCGATGTATGGACCGCCGACCAACGGTAGCTACAATCACGGGTAAGAGTCGATGTCGTGTTCCGTGAAAGAGTATAGTTTCCGAACTGAAGTCTAAATCGGACATTGTGGATCGGATTGCAGCTACAAGTACTCCGCGCCGCCACAGTCGCAGGGCAACCCCTTCTTACCGGGCGTGGTGTTCAAATATCACCGCAATATCCAACGACAGGTCGAACACACCTACCCGCAAGATGCGTTTGGCCCGAATCAGTCGTGGTTGACCAATAGGTAATCGTCGAAATGACACATACCGGCGGTATGTGTCATTCCGACTCTTTAAATTTCTTGGATCTCACTCGAAAAATAGTGACAGCCGAGCCACTCGGATTCGGGATTTTTCCGAAATCGAAGAGTGACCCTGATATATTATTCCAGTCACGGGAACAACTTCACTCTTGCGACTTTGAGCGGCAATATTTTCACTATCTCTTCGAGTGAAAATACTACTACTTTTCTACGCTTGTTTCAAGTGAGGTTTTACTCCAAGAAATTCAGAGAGTACTCAGTCTTATATGTAAGATCTTTTTAAATTCACCTCAAGATACCATATTGCCATGAAACGGCTTTTACGGTATTTTAAATCGAATTTACGACAGTCTTAAGTATAAGGTCGGACTATTAATATCGTCCTAAATTGTGCGAGAATGTCGCACGAACGAATGCGATAATTCTACTTCAAATTGGATATCTGTTTATGGTGTGTTTTGTGTGTTGCACAACAGCTACTCACGGAGCGACAAAATAGCGCCTCGAACTTACCGTGTAAATCCCTTACTGGGCTACGCAAAATCGAAGTCGAGCGGTCGCGTCAAGAGGCAGATAAAAGCGGACGCTATTGTCCTGTGCCCTACAGAGGGACAATACATCATTCCTAGAGCGGCCCTAAACAATCAAGGCAATTGGATGTACATTGTCAATCTTCCAGAGCAGAACAACAAACATACGCAGCTTGTCAAGAGCGAAAAATGCTTGTAAGTAACAAAATCTCCAAGAGACTCATAGTGCGCGAAATTGACATTATGATTCGATGGTTCTGATTAGCGTTTCAGTTTCCTTTAGGTTGGAAATTGAAGGTTGCAGGTTACAGATTCAAATTCGACAAGTTCACTATCTTGGCTCGTTCTATCCAAGTTTTAATTTTCAATCCGTGATCCTCAATCTACGATACTTCGTTTGATATAATCTTAATAATATTCCTACACTTCCCGAAAAGAGACTGAAATTCCAATCAGATCTATCAAATATTTAAGTTCGGGTATCAATTTCACGCACACTTCTAAAATTTCTTATAAATATACAAGGTTTTCCTTGTTTTCAGAAACGACGAATGCAACGGTATATGCTCCATTCCTACGGGCTACCGGAGCAGGTGTCAACAGCAGTACGTGCAAAAGAGACTGGTCGCGCTCGAGGGTAGCGGGAATCGCCTTTACACAGACGTGTTCTGGTTCCCGCACGGCTGCACGTGCGAGATCGTGCCGAATTATTGAGAAGCACGAATTATCGAGAATTACGGCGAACTGTGTCGATCGCATAAACGACGGGCTCGTTTTCAAGGGTAAACCACTAGACGCACTTACGGCCAATTAATCGAAACGTTTTCCCCGCGATTGAAACTCGACACTGAGAGCTGTAACGCAGAGCGCGCCTCGCATCAACACCGAGAGCGAGAGAAAGAGAGAGAAAGAGAGGGTACCGATAATGTAGTGTTCTGTGAGCGACGAGTACCCTGGCGAGTTACGCGTGTGCGTTACCAGCGGTGTGTTAAAAGGCAGACGCGGATGTGCGTTATCAACGTAGCTACTGTAGTGCCACGCTATATCTTCAATCGCGAGCGGCGTAAATCTACTTGTTACAGGCGATATCGAAGCTGCGAAACACAGCACTTCGAGCGTTTCTGTCGACGATAAACGCTGACGAAAGGATCCTCCGACAAAAGAGGAAAAGGAGAGAGAGAGAGAGCTGCCACTGTTTCCGTTCGCATAGCCCATTTGGCGTTAAATACAACGCACGACGAGGAACCTCTTACTTTATTGACCGGAGTAACAGCGCGGATCGCCTCGATTGCGTTTTTCATTGCACGATTTCGTTGCACGGTCATCGCGAGAACGACGATTGTACGCTTAGTTTTGCCTTGATATCGTGGCCTTATTGATTTCTAGTTATAGTTTCTTTTTATTATTAATGCTACGTCTCTCTAGTTCACGTAAGAAAAGAAGAATTTTACTCGGGAATACATCCCATGAACGAGCGAATCGTCCGACGAGACTGAGAAGGGACAGAGCGAGAGCCTCGTGTGTATTGCATGATAAAATTTAAAGATGGATATTATTTTGTATGTAAACGTTATTTATATAAATGAATATATAAGGAAAGAAGATGAGATGTAGCTAAGAAGCGCGGCGATCGCCTATCAGCGACGATTATTATTTTTTTCATTATTATTATTGTTACATACACGGAGAAAAATGTTTTGCTGACGCAGCAAATTGTCTATCGCTAATGATAAAAAAAATTTGTTTCCAATAACAAATCTTTAACAAGATTTGTTAACAGTATTAACTTGGTAATTGTGCTAACTAGATTTTATTATTGTCGCAACGATGTTTTGCTACAACAGCAAAATTATTTTAGGGTAACAAATCCTCTTGCTGTTATTATAGCAACAAACAATTTGCAGTGACAGTAAATTGTTTTCCATATAAGAGCCGACCGGACGAATGTGCAGTCATCTTGATCGCGAAAAGATGAAATCGTGAGAAAATACACATTATGGTCATGAGAATAACTCTACCTCTATCTTGTCGAGATCCTTCCTTCCTTCCTTCCTTGTGATGGTTAAGAACATCTGAGCTCCATAAGCCAATAACGAAGCAATAGCTACCGAAATCTTGTCGAGATAAATAATCATCCACGAATTTAACGCGATACGGGCGAAATCGCCTGTCGCGCACTTATCTCGCCGAATAACCGATCGGTCCTTTCGTTATGGCGCACAACACGCGCGTTCCTAATCGTGACACCTTATCGGTGGATGTCCTAGATGCTCGCAGGAATGCGGGAGAGGAGGAGAGAGCCGGGACATAAAATAAAGGATCGCGAGTCCATCGGTTGGCAAAGGACGGTGTACGAGCGGAAGAGAGGGATGAGGCCCGAGGGGTGATGAGGGCGAGCGGGATAAAGCGGGGGAGGAACTCTGGAGGTCAGACACGCGCGAGTGCTGCGGAAATGTTGCGGGGCAACGCGGCACCCTTTTCGCACTGTTCCCCGTCGTCGTCGCCGACGCAACGGAGCTTCTTCGGAATGAAACGTTATTATCGTTATCCGTGTCATCTGATTTTTTCCTTTTTTTTACAGCGCGATCGCCCGACATCGTTGACACGTTCGACTCGCGTTTGATTTTTTCGCGGGCTGTCCGGAACTGTCGACGGTGCTGGAAAAGCGCGTTAAGGGGGAAAAAGCAAGAGAAAAAGAGCGAGAGAGAGAGAGAGAGAAACATTTCACGCGCCCTGGATTCGCGCTCTTGCTATAGATTTCGTTCCGCTCGGAAAGTAGCGTTCACTCTCTCCCATTCCCGTACGTACCCGCTCGAGAGCCGCCCCCGTGCCCTCCGCATTCCCCCTCGGCATCCCTCGGCGTTTCCAACGGAAAGAAGGGTGAATCGTAGGCGCGCGCGCGTAAGTGCAACGCGGCCTGTACGGCGTGCACTTGTACCTTACGCGTTTCCCTCCACTCGTGCGTGACAGAAGTGTCGGTACACACGAGGTGGATGGTAGAGGCTACTCCAAGGGTTTCCGTTTATATGCACGGATGTAAGCGTGTGCGAGGTGAGCGAGGGAGGCGCGCGCGGGGCCTGCGACGAAGCGAGATCGTCCTGCGATAATGTCACGTGTGTAAGGTACATATTGCGTACGAGAAGCGAAGGATAACGCATTATGATCGAGGAAATTCTTAATTGGGCCCGACGGTTGGGAATATAGCGTGCGACACACGAAAATATCTTGTGCACTTTCCTGAATTTCTTTCGAGCGAAATTTCACTCGGAGAGCAGAGCGACCAAGCCGAGTTGTTCGTATAGAATGCACTTTAAATCGATGCGAGTAAATATTTTTATTCGAAATCTCTCTGAAAAAGTGAACCCGCGATGCGCTGCATCAAATTCGCCCTAACCGAGTGACACAACCACTCGTGTAGTTCCGTTCTGCGTGTGAATGAAACATTCGTCCTCGTGACTCCGAGCGGCGATATTTTAACTGTCGTGTGAATATTCGTTGGTTTTGAGTGAAATTTCATTGCGCAAAATTTGGAGAGTGCTCACCGCGAGTACATTAACCGCTCGCCGCGAACACGCTGTTTTAGCGCGATAATTGAGTGCGGATCACCGCAGCTCGCCTCTCGCATCTGGAGCCTCCTTGAGATTAAATCGGGATTCCCGGTCGCTTCACGGCGTCCAGATGTCACGCTTCGGCAAGAGGAAGCCCACCTTTGATCCCTGGCAGCCGCAAGATGACGAGCGTGCCGTCGGAGCGGGAGTCGACTTCGGATTCACGATCAAATTGACGAAAAGTCGAGCGAAACGCGACATCGACCGGTAGAGATTTTCACGCGAGGTCTTTCACGCGCGGTCGCATTGTATTAAATCCCGTTTGACCCATTTCCGCTTTCGTCATGTGTCCTAAACGCGCGGTCAGATAGGTCAAGTTCGCGACACGGTCTCGCTTTCTCGCATCTCCACGCTTCACCTCGTCGTAAACCCTTTCCTTCTGGCCTGGTCCGAAATAGTCCAGGTTCCTGCGGGCACTCTGCCTCGGATTATCTCTCTCCCTTTACCTCTGTCGATCCTTATCCTTCTGTCGCAAACAGAACGAGCGATACTGTACTTGAACTCATGTTTTTTTCAGATTATATCACACACGAAAATCTCGCGTTCATTTCCAATTTGTATGTACTCTCATTATTCTTTATTTTTTATATTTTTTCATATATTTATGCTTAGATTCCATTCTTTGTACTTATTTCCTTTTCTGAAACGCTTTCTTGAGGCTTTATTCCAGAGAGCGTCAATACATAAATACACCTATCTCTCGTTTTTTCGTTTTCTATAGTGTTCATGATCATTTATTCAGCTCATCGACAAATGCAAGAGATGAAAATCGCGAATTCCCCGTGAGGATAAATCGATCGGGAAAAAAAGTTCGCGGCTAACAATCGCGATCTCGCAAGAGCCGCGGAAAGCCGGTGCTCGCAGGTGCTCGCAAGTCGGTCGGTCGGTCGGTCGTATCAACGGCGCAGATGGTGCAGTCGGCGAGAACACATCGCCCGTACGGAATCGAGTTTATCGTGTGTGAAAAAAAAAATGTGTGTAAGGTCAGCGCTGACGGCACACGGCGACTTTACCTATGATATTTTTTTTCTCCTGAGTGAACTTGCATTGAAAAAAAGCGACCTTGACTACTCGGTAACAATTTTTTTTAATGTGACGTAAGTTCATCGGCTGGTGGACAACGGCGGTAACGACGGCGGCGGCGTTTAATGCACCGTTGCACCGCTTGCTACCCCGCGCTCTGCGTCATCGAATCGCCGCGTGACATTATTTACCGCGGGAGCGGAGCGTGTGCCGAGTGTGTGCGTGTGTTTAACGAACAACCGTGTTTCCAATGAGTTCGAGGGAAGGGAAAAAAATAAATAAAAAAAAAAAACAACGCACACGCACAGTGCGTAGAGCGCGGCGTAGAAAATTCGAATTTCGCGCAGCGTTACTTCGCGACAGGAAAACAGGGCGAGAACGACAGGAAAGAGAATAGCGTTTCTTCCTCCCTCTTTTTTTTTTTTTCTTTTAAAGGATTACAGCTTCGTTTCCGTTTCCGTGTTGAGATCGTGACTATGTACAGCCGGAGGGTTTGGAGCTTTTTTCTCTCTCCTCGGGATTCCTGCCACCCCCGGCAGCCGGGAGTTTTACAGTAATCTCTGTGCCAAAAGTCGATTGCGCTCTCAGCATCCCTCCCGCCCGTCCTTCCTCCATCTCTCCTTCTCCTTTCCACGCTCGTTCGCGCGCGCGCGCGCGTTGCGCGTCGAGCCGGTCGACCGGCAGCTTCGAGCGCCGGGATAAAGTCACGAGCAGTAATTATGAACGATAGCAGGGGAGAGAGAGGATATATAATTGTGATTGATGGAGAGATGAGAAGGGAGGTGTGCAGGGGGTGACTTCCTTTTAATCTCGAAGCTAACCCTTTCGTACATCCATTGCCGCTTCTGGCCGAGCGACGCGGTGCGACGCGATTTTATTACCTCGAGCCGCCGTTGGTGTCTTCGCGAACAGAGGAAGGAGGACACGGATTTGACCCCCCCCCCTCCCTGTTCGAGGGGGCGGGGAGGAGGAGTCGAAATCGAAGAAAATCGTACGACTCACCGTCGAAAAATACTCTCTGCGGTGTCAAGAGCGCACGCGTGTCCGTTTCTCTCTCTCTCTCTCTCTCGCTTTCAAACCTTTAATCGTTCTACCACCTACCGCCGCGGATTCATCTCCCGCGCCTCCATCAGCCCGAGTCTCATTTCGGTTAGCTCGAAAACAGATTTAAAGGGCCAACGCGGGAAACGAAAATCACCTCTCACAGTCGGAAGCGAGAGGGCGGTTGGTATCGAAGATACTCAGCGATAACACTCGGTTAATGTTCGATCAAGCACGAGCTCCCGAAAGGAAGAGCTAAATTAATAATTATCGTCATCTTGTATGAAGAGCGAGAAGAGAAAGAGACAGAAATAACGACGGTCTACGGCCGAAACGGACGCGCCAAATCGTCGTTATAAAACACGAAAGAAAGCCTCTCCTGCCTCGTGCAGCGAGGAAGCCCGGCGTGTCCGCTCGTATACGCGCATTATCCCCGATGTCTGCCTCTTCGCGTGCGTGCGTGCGTGAGTGAGTGAGTGAGTGAATGCGTGCGTGCGTACGCGCGTGCATGCGTGCGTGCATGCGTGCGTGCATACGTTGGTGCGTGCGTGCATGCATTCGGTAGTGTGCGTATTCGCTCTCCTCTCCTCTCCTTTCTCCGTTGCCGTCTCTACGCACTATCTCTCTCCCCCCTCCTCCCCTCTCGCTCGCTCACTCGACTCCACTAGCAGTCCACGCACCGCCGAGCGAGTGAGTGAGCGAGCGAGCAAGCGGGAGTCTGCGATCAATGCGTGGCACTGCCACCGGTCGTCATGGCAACGAAGCGCGCCACGCACAACGAGCGAACGATCCGCGTCGATCGTGCGTAAGTGCGTGCTCCGGCCGCGCGCGCTCGCCCGCTCGTTCGTACGTTCGTTCGTCGTCGTCGTCGCAAGCGTGAGCAGCGCGAGCGCACACACCGTGCGCACACGCCCAAATGAGAGGACTGCCTCCTGCGACGACGACGACGACGACGTGCCGCGCGACGAGACTTCGCGAAAGACCGCGTGTGCAGAGGGACGATCGATGCCCCGCAAACTTTGGCAGCGAGCACGTGACACACATGGCTCTCTTTTGCGCGATATCGCGTTCCGGTGTTTCGACATTTTTTCCCTCAATTGGTATATTAATAATTATCCGCTGTATTATAGTTTAATACTCAACTATATTAGTATAAACCAGTATATTACACTCTATGTCATACTCCCTGTTATACTATAAAAACTATTTATGCCTAATACATATTAATTTCTGTCTACTATACTAAATTATTTAACATGCTAATATAGTATATTAAAATACGTTAATTGTTGCGTTGATTTTCGTT